GGGTTATTGGAGAGACTGTCCAGTCATGAGAAGGTACATTACAATTTATTTACATCTCATCACCATGAGTGTCTTCCCCCACCAGAGTCGGCGTTCCAGACCCGTCATGATGAGCACCGATGATGGAGCTGCATTTCCTTCTCCTCCAGTCCCTCATTCACCACAGACAGTTCCTCATCTGGATGATGGGTCTTTGTCCTGTTTTAAGATTTAATAAATATTTCCCTTAAATTCTACTTGAGGATTAGGGCCTCTTTTATGCCTTAAATTAAACCCTAAACTCAAATAAATTTTAGAGAGACCTCCTTTATTAAGTCTTGAACAGGACAAATATTTCATTTAAAACAAAAACATCCAGAGGAGGGAGGCCATTAGCATGGGTCCATAGTGGGAGCTGGGGGTGGGGGTGAAGAATTTACTGCTACCTAAAACACGGGAGTGGGGGGTATGTGCAGAGAATTGTCACCAAATCAGGACTGACAGCAGACCACATCCTCACATTCCCACGTGGGATTACAGACCGCGGAGAGGGGCCACAACTGGGCTGCTTACACTATAAACATCACTGCAGATTAGCACAGTTTGCAGGACTGGCCATCTGGGCAGGGGGTTGTGATCCTGGTGCCTCAGTTTCCATGACGGGCACACCCAGATGAGTTTCTGAGGGTGACTGCAGTGCCTGCATCGGTGGGCTCAAACAGGAGCACAGCTGGGAGGATGACACAGGGCCCAGCCGTGCTCCCTTCTCTTGTACACCGGGTCACTGTGTTAGGGAGCTGGACGCAGAACTAGGGGTTGGCCCTCTACAGGCCAAAGCCTCCCTCCCCCCCTTACAGTGATTTGGAAGCTGCTTAAGGATAGAGGGCATGCTCACATTCAGATCTTTGAGACAGGAAGCCAGTACACCTGGGTGGGCCCCAATCTGGGCCAGGTGAGCTTACTTCAGCCAATGGTGGGGTCAACCAGTACCGCTGACCATGGCTCCCAGCAGAGGACCCTGAAAAGCCAGATTCGGGAGCCCACCTCGGTCTCCAGCTGCTGCTCTCTGGCCTCAGGTTTCCACAGGTGGGTATGAAGTACCCTGAGGGTGCCTGTGTCGAACCTGAAACATCTATCCTTTATAAAAACTCACTTGGATCACCAACCAGGCTTCTGTGTGAATCAGGACCAAGGTATTCCTAACCCGAGAAACCTAACAACTGACTCAGAACCAACAAGAGGGCGCTTAACAGCTAGCCACCCATTCCAGGGCTGGCCAGGTGGGACTTTTCACATGCCAACCCATGCTCAGAACTCACCAGAGGCAGGTCTGTGGAGACACCGTGGATTTCGGGCGCCTGCAAACCTAGCGCTTAGCGCTTAGAATCTAAAGCGCCAACACACCACACAGTTAAATGTGGGCCCTCTGCGAGGCCAGTGTTTCAAGGTTCAAAAGAGACCACCCCCACCTTAAATAGAATTTTTTTTTTAAATATAATTTTTAAGTGTTATCGGCACATAATTTACCTATCATTCAATTGCATCAAGGGGAACTGTATAATCATTACCACGTTCAATTTTAGAACAAATATAATTCAAGAGAAAAATTTATGTTTTAAAAGAGAACAGAAAGACAACACAAAGGCAACAGAAAGACACGGAGGTCTCCCGAGGGGACAAGCATCACAAGATGATCACAGCGAGGGGAAAACAAGCTTTCATGCCGCCTACGTGTTAAGAGAGAGATGGAAAACCATCAAGGCTCTGCCGGACTGCATCGGAACAGCCGTGTAAGATTGGCTCTTTCTACAAAGTTGGAGCGGTTTGGTTCTTACAAAAGGTGAGATAAAATATAACTTCTGCAAAACCTTTGTCAAATGCTTTACAGTAAAGACAGCCAAGAGGGGTTTTTTGTTGTTGTTGATCCATTTGCATATCTAGGTCTTGAGAACTTCCTCTTGTCTACCCTTACCTGGGCCTATGTTCCCCACTCCCCTATCTTTTCTGTAAGTAGCCTGTTCCTCCCTGCCTTCCTGGATTACCAAGGAGATGGCTCAGGGCTACTGTCCTTTCCTGTCCCCTTGGCATTTGGTCATCAGAAAGTGAGTGTGGGACTCAGGATGGAATCTGGACTCATTTCAAGGATGAAACCAAGGCTCTGTCAGGGGGACCTTTGCTTTCAGGCGCTGATCAACAGACGCACCATGTGGCTGAGGGAGGCCATTGTCAAGACAAGAGGTTAGAATGGTGCTCAAGGGTTTGTTGAGCCACAAAGCTTTAAAAAGGGGGGGGGGGAAACTGCAAAGACATGATCAAGACATCACAGTTACAGGTGGGGCCACAGAAGCAGGAGGATGATGGGCACATGGATATTGTTAGAAGGGCTTCCAAGATTGGTACAAGACCATCTGGCCTAGGTGGTCAGGATGAGACTGACAGGGACTCATGACTTTGTGATCCCCAGTATGGGGGTCTCCTTCAAAGACACACCTAGGCAAGCCCCAAAGAGATGGCCCCTCCCTGGGCTGGCCAGAGAGATGAAGGCAGTCCACTCTCCCTGGCATTCTGCCCGAGGGCAGGATTCACGACATCCTTAGTGATCGGAAAGCATTTAAAGGAAGGCTCGTCCATGTGGAGACCCTGCAAATGGATTTGGGGCTGTCATTGTCATCTGTAGCCTTTTGCACACTGGGTGCTCAGAATTTAAACTCTAATACAGCAGTCTACAATTGTTCTACCACGGTCATAGGCTAATGCTGACAAATAGCATCTCCCCACCTCTGCCCTGTTTCAAGGGCACCAGAGACCCCCAGATGTGTGTAAAGAGCACGCGTAAGTCTTAAAAGAGACAGACAGACCCATCATCCAGATGAGAAGGCCATGAGCACGAGGTCAAAACTAGGTGGAAGTGTTCAGGTCGGGCTACCAGATAAACAGGACACAGAACGAAGGGAAATGCCACTAACTCTTGATTGCAGGCAGATCACTACATCAGTCACTAGAGCTTTACAGAAGCAGGAACAGACTGGGATTGGGACACACACATTGCTAAATAGAAGGGTTTACAAGATTGGCCCCGAGGCTAACAGAGGCCATCAGGGCACAAACTTTAAGGGTAAGACTGTCTTCAGGATGGAGACTTCCAGTAAGGACACACCCAGGCAAGCCCGAGACTGCCCCTCCCTGGCCTGGTCCAAGAGGGGCGGAGCCAATCCCCAATCCCAGGCATTCAGCCTGAGGGCAATGTTATCCCCATCCATGGCTAATGATGTTGGAGGCTTACACTATTTGTTCTTAATAGGGTGTACCTCATAAGTGTTATGTCACTGGCAGTCACCCTGTTGAAGCTACATTCCGTATTTTTCTGTTTTTTGGTACATGATACTCAGGATTGAAGATCAGCAAGGAGAATAAGGGTTTGGGGGGTGGGGTGGGAGGGTGTGTGTGTGTGTAAAAGGGAGACAATGTCAATGTGTGTGTGTGTGTGTGTGTGTAAAAGGGAGACAATGTCAATGTGTGTGTGTAAAAGGGAGACAATGTCAATGTGTGTGTGTAAAAGGGAGACAATGTCAATGTGTGTGTGTAAATGGGAGACAATGTCAAGGAGTCCAGGAGGAAAAAGAATGTTGTGGTAGTAATCATACAAGTCTACTTGAC